CTGGGGCTTTGGCCCTGTATGACAAGACCTGGCTACAACGTGAAAATTTCGGAACTGCAAATTACTCTACTCCACTACTCCTGACCAGCTGAATCATTTGCTTTGCTGAACCTGTGCCACATGCTAATGTCAGCAATGTAGGTGCGTTAGAAGCACTGCAGCTGCTCCGTTTGGTGGGAGACCCCAGGGTGTGAGAGGGAGGCAGGAGAGGTGCTGCACCCTGCGCCCCTCGGACTTCACCACTGCTAATCGCAGCTCTTGGACCTCTCCCCCCCGCCCCCAATTCTTATGCAAACATTTAGAAGTAGGCAGGAAAAAAGGCACAAAACAGGAGACATAAAGAGTGCAAAGCCTCCCAGGAGCGCACAAAGCACAAAATGTCTCTTCTGCTCGCTCAAAAGACTCTTCCCAGCTCCTTGCACTAGGCAGGAGTGCGTGAGCAGGGATTCAGAGCTCCCCTCCCACTGAGCTCGCAGCTAAAGCCCTCCCCCAGTTCCCAGGGTCTTCAAATGAAGATTTGCATAGTAGTTCCAGATCATTCCCGAGAGAAGGGACAATGGCTCTCTCAACGCCCTCTTCCCCCTATCCCTCCCTCCCAAAGCTGATAAAGCCCTGGTGAAAAGGGGAACAAAGGATTTACAGATGTCAGAATATTGATTTCTGCCGTTCCAGGACTACAGGGAGAACATGAAGAAAACTTTTGCCCCCAGAAACTCTGTGGAGTTTGAGACACAGACGCTATCTCTGCAGCACGAACTCCGCGTTTGTTAGGCAGTCTCTGATGGAGGCAATATTGCTATTCGAGAGGGATGAGCCCTGAACACGCGAAAACGCAGGGGATGAGATTACAGCCTGCAGTCCCAGAGAGGCGTTTGCTGTTCCCAGACGTGATGAACGGAGGCGTTTCCAGCGACAGCAGTTTGCCCCCAGGCGGGCCGGGCCGGCATTGCTGCGGGCGGCAGCTCCCGCCCCGCTCCTCCCGGCCCCGCTGCATCCTGCGCCCCTCTGCCCCCCTCTGCCCCCGCCGCTGCTGCTGGGACAAGGATCGGAAAGGAAGTGAAATCTTTGAGTCTTTGGCAAGCGGCCTCTGATTCGGAATCAGGGTGTACATGGATTGCCACTAAACTCACTAAATTTAGGGCCGTTACCTGAAAGCCAAAGCTTTCTGCTCCCACAACATTTCTGTGCACAGCCCATGCAAACCCGAGCTTGCTTTTACACGACAAAAATTCCTTTTCACTGTAGTTCATCAACTCCACTGACCTCCAGCTCCACCAGCTCCCTGCAATCGCTCAGATTGTGCTAAACAGAGCGGTGACGCGATCCAAAGTGTCACATGGCACTGCTGCACGGCCAGCACGGGACTGGCACTGGGCAGCCAAGGGAGCTCCTGGCCCGACCTCCCCCTGTCCCACCACTGCTCTGAAGCAGCTTTCAGCTTTCTCTGTGGGACTGCCTGCTGCCACTTTATAGACATACATACATATATTATATTTATTTTCCCCCTCCCTTTTCAGAGCTATCTCTGTAGAATTTCTGCACTCAAAAAGTTCCTGGGATGCTGGATCTTTTGTAAAAATGTACCTGATGAAAATTTCTCTATGTTGGAACTCAGTACATCCCTCCGGGTGTCCAGAGTTGCTGAGGACCCTACCAGGGGGCTTGGAGACCCTGGCACACAGCCCAGAACACCTGGGGATTTGATTTTGACCCCTGGAGCAAGTTGCCAACTTTGTATGAGGACCTGAAAGTCACAGAGGTTTGAATAGTGTAAAAATAGAATTATCACAGGGTGAAAATGTAGATTTTAGGATTTTTGGTATGGGGGTTATGGGGACAAGATGGAGGAACTTGGGCATGTCTAGCCTTTCTTCTTCTTCTTCTTCTTCTTCTTCTTCTTCTGCTTCTTCTTCTTCTGTTTCTCCTTCTCCTGCTTCTCCTTCTCCTTCTCCTCCTTCTCTTCCTTCTCCTCCTTCATTTTCTGCAGTGATGTTGGCACTTTGGGATTGGTTTAGAGTAGAAGTGCACTGTCCAACATAGGTGATAGGTATTGGGAATTAAGTGTAAATATGTTAACATAGTTTGTAGTATAAAAGGACAACACAGAGTGCCTGTGGCTGCCCTGCTAAGCAGATCTCAGCTGGGCAGAAAGAAAATTTTATAGATAAGAATTAATAAACAACCTCAAGACCGAAAAGTGCAGAGTCCAGACTCGTTCTTCAGTTGCACGGGCCAAAGCAGAGACATCCTGCACATCTCAGGGCAGCAAATATCAACAGCAACCTGAGATCTCTAAATATGGGATTTAGGCCGTTTTTAAAGGTGATAAGTTATTTTCTGAATCAAGCTCTAGGCCCCTCAGATTTTCCCTGGGGGAAAACCCCACCTGAAACCCATTCTGCAGGGCAGAGTGGTAAGTACAAAAGGGTTTCCCATGCCATGGGTCAATAACTCAGACAGAGCTGCAGAGCCAGAGCTGACTGTTCCCTCATTTTCCACACAGCTTTGTACAAACACGTGCTGTCAGGAGGACTGCAATCATCACAGTGATAAAACCAGCACATATCGTAGAGTTAAACACATTTCACACAACTACATCAAAACATTATGCACAATACTCTTAAAATATCTAGGTTTCTTTCAATACCTGCCTGTCTTCCCTCAGCTGAAAGAAATTATTCTTATGGAATCTTTTGTGTCTCCCAGCAGCCACTCCTAATTTACATTTAAAGATGTGAATCAGACCCACCAGACTCCTGATACAGCTCACACAGAGATTAATCACAGCTGTTGGGATGATGAAGACTAAGGCAGGCCCATTTTAAATCAGTGTCACTCAGACTGTAATGAACCTGCTGCCACACTCAGCTTCAGCACAGACTTCAAACATTCCAGGTGTCTCCATGAGCCCCTTGGAGCTACATGGGTGAGCTCCTGGGGAGCTGTGCTAGGAGGTGCCTTCTCCAAAGGGCATTTTCCAGACTGTCAGAGGGGTAAAGGTGTCAGGGAGAACTTGGGAGAAGCAAACCTTGGCTGCTCTCACCTGCTTAACACTCACATGTTAACACATGCAGCAGCAGCACAGCTCACAAACCTGTTTTATTTTAGAGAGAATTTTCCCTCATCCTAGGCAAATGTTTGCTTATTTTGCCGATTCTTTGTTTTCTTTTGTTCATAAACATTAGCTTCTGTTGCTTACTTAAAGTTTTTTTTTTTTTGCTACAAACAAAAGCAGTTTTTTTATACACTTCCTGCTACAAATTTGCTTTAGCATACAGAACTTAGTTCCATCACTGAAATACTATACCAAATAATTCTCAGATCTTCTGTTTCCCCCAAAACCCCACATGCAAATTCTTTTCATATTAAAAGTCTGATATGTTAGACATCTCATAAGCCTGAATCATGAAGGTGTGGAAAGGCAAAATCTCCCTCCAGTGTGGGTTTAGCAGAGCAGGTGTGTGTGCACATGGCAAGCCCCAGTGGTTTGAGGGCTGTTTTGTACAAAATGCATCCTGTCCATGGTGACAGAACACTTGTGCAGGTACACACAGTACCTGGGAACAACTTCTTCCAGTATGGAAACAAAGCAGTCCTCAAAACTGTTTATTAAATAAAATCATACAAAATTACTGGAAGAAGTAATTGTAATTTAAAAAAAAATAAGAGAAGAACAAAGAAACCAAAGAACTTTTAACAGTTTACAGTGCCCAGATAAAGTAAATAACTGAGCAATATTTTTATGTCAAGGGGTGTTTCACAAGAGCTTTCCAAGGCTCTGGCCATCTTACACTCACACAGTAAAGTGGACACCAGCCCTGCTCCAAGTGAAAATGGGTAAAGAAACCCTGTTCCCCAGCAGCAAACACATCTCCCCACCATCTCACAGCCATGGCAGGCTGCATTCCTTGGTCTTGGCAACAGAGAAGTGACCAATTCCATGGGACCAAGGTGTGCATATGACCAACCAACCAACCAACCAACCAACCAACCAACCTCCTCCTTCCAACAGAAGCCTTGTTTGGAGTAAAACACAATTCCCTCATGTCATTCCTCTCATACCAGCCCCTACCATCATCCTTCCCAAAACCTCAGTTTCTTTGCTTTTTTAGTGTAACAGTTTCTATATGGACCATGGGAATCCTCTCATTTTGCTGTGGGGTTTTAAGTGCTGAAAAATGTGCTGTCCAAAAGTCAAACAGCCAACAACCAGGCCCCAATAAAGAACTAAAGGAAAACCTACATATTTGTATTAATTTTTTAGGAGATCTTGTGTTCATTCAAGTGATGTTATTATTTCATTAGAATCATGCCAGGAATCCATGTAATTAAAAACACATTGGTGGTAACAGAAGGGCACCATTTGAGGGCCCCTTTGATCCCCTCATGCCTGGGACCTCCCCAGCGCTCTCCCTGACCCCACAGCCCGAGGACTTTGCACTCTCTGAACTGCTCATCACTGTCTACCTGACAGGAGGATGGAGGCAGGTGAGGATCGGCCTCTTCTCCCAGGCAATAGCAACAGGACAGGAGAGAACGGCCTCCAGCTGCACCAGGGTGGGTTAAGGCGTGACATCAGGAGTAATTTCTCCACAGAAAGTGTGATCAGACATTGGAATGGGCTGCTCAGGGAGGAGGTGCAATCACTGTCCGGGGAGGCATTTAAGGAAATACTATGCGCCATGGTCTGGCTGACACGGTAACGTTCGGTCATAGGACGGACACGATGCTCCCCGAGGTCAGCTCCAAGCTAAGCGAGTGTCCCTGTCACAGTGTCCCTGTCACACTGTGTCTGTCACCGCCCCCACGCCGAGCTCCCCCAGCTCCGCCCTCAGCTCCAAGATGGCGCCGGGCCGCCCCTCAGCCCGCACCGCGCTGACGTCACCGTCCCGCCCCTCCCGCGCAGGGCGGCGCATGCGCGCGGGCGGCCCCGCTCAAGGTCAGCGCGGCCGCTGCTGCCGCCGGTTCCGCCCGGCGCGGTTCCGGTTCCGGTCCCGCCGTGCGGACAGGAGGACATGGCGGCGCTCGGACGGGTGTCCCGCCTGCTGCTCGGCGCCGCCGCCCCGCGCTCCCTGCCGGGGCGCGGCTTGGCGGCGGCCGCCGCACACGAGGAGGGCGGAGGTAACGGGGCTCTGCGGGGCGAGGGCGGAGCCGGGGCCCGCGGCCGGCGCGGCGCTGCCCTTGACAGCCGATGCCCTTCGCTGCGGGAACGGGGCACGGCAGGAGGTCGGTGGGGCCTGAACCGGGGCTTAAACCATGAGCCGGGATCCCTGTTACAGACGGGTTGGAGCGTGGGACGCAGGTTCATTAGCGCCCCGTTAATGCGCTAATTGCGGTAATGCGTGTGCGGTCGGTATCGCTGACGGGAGCCGTGCTGGTTCTGATGCCGCTGTCCCTGCCCAGCCCGCTTGTGGAAGACGCTGACGTTCGTGGTGGCACTGCCCGGCGTGGCCGTGTGCATGCTCAACTGCTACCTGAAGGCGCAGCACGAGCACGAGCACGAGCGGCCCGAGTTCGTGCCCTACTCGCACCTCCGCATCCGGACCAAGGTACCTCTGCCCGGGTCACGGCCCTCCTGTCCTGCACCAGGGGCTGCAGAGCCTCCTCCGAGACTGCCACAGCGCCTTTTCCTCTCTCGACTGCCGCATGAGATGGCTGTGATACCAACTCACAGCTGTTTCTGAGGCAGTGAGGGTTTGTCACAGCTCTGGTGAAGTGCCCATGACATTCATCGGCCTTCTCACCCCAGAGTGATCCTCCTAATGTATTGCTGAAAAATGTTTCAGTCCTAGAGCTGCTGTACTTAAAGTCATACAGATCCCAAAATACTCAAAATTTGGGTCCTCGTAATACAGCACAGTGTTTGTTTAAGAGCAAAGATTGTGCTGTTTAGAGACTGTGGCTCCCAGCCAAGGGAGACAAGAGTTTTCCAGCTCCTGCTTCCCCTACATCCTGGGAGCCAGCTTGCCTAATTCAGCCTGTCAAGCTGATCATAGAATCATTTAGGTTGGTAAAGTCTTCTGAGATGGAGTCCACCCTTTGACTGATCTCCTGTCAGCCAGATCATGGCACTAAGTGCTGCATCCAGTCTGTACCTAAACACCTCCAGGGATGGTGACCCCAGCAGCCTGAGCAGTTTGTCCCAATGTTTAGCAACCCTTTTTGTGAAGAAATTCCTCCTGATGTCCATCCTGAACCTCCTGTGGCACAGCTTGAGGCTGTTCCCTCCTGTCCTGTCATTAATTGCCTGGGAGAATTGATGTTTGAGTGTGCACTGTTCTTGGTTTCAGGTGCTTGTAGAGATTGTTCAGAAGCTGCCACTGGCTGATTTTCTTTCTTCTTTCAACAGCGTTTCCCCTGGGGTGATGGGAATAAAACTCTGTTTCACAACCCCCACGTTAACCCTCTCCCAACTGGTTATGAAGATTAAAACCAAGATCCTGCCAACAGCCAGAACTTTGGCTCTCCCCGTCCTGAACCAGAATGTCGAGTGGGAGCCATCATTTCTGGGGTCATAGTTTCAGAAACTCTGTGTTTCTTCTGTGATGAAGCTGAGTGGTGTTGTGGCCCAGTGTGTACCTGTGATGGGGCCCTTTAAATAAACAACTCTGAACGTGAATTTGGGATTTGACTTGTTTACCTGAATCCTTTGGGAGTTTTTCAGTTCAGTGTTGGCAAAAAGCATCATAAAGCATGAAGATTTCCCCCAGGACAGAGTGCAGGAGCAAAGGGGTTTGACTGCCTGCATGGTAACATGTGTTCCTGTGTCTGATAACACACCAGGAATGCATTTGGCATCGGACATGAAACAATTTCATGTTCTTCATGTCTGGTTTAACTGATGGCTCTAAACTCAGAGCCAGAACAACAGATATGTACATTAAAACTCAATATATACTGAAGCACATTCTCCATTATCAGCTCTTGCAATATTTATTAACAGTCATGAAGGTGATTTTCTCTTGGTCCCTTCTGCACAGGGAGGCAGCAAAGATGTTGAGCTAAGCTCTGCCTTCACACTGTCCTCAAGTTTTCAGGTACATCAGCACGTATTTTCCTCACCACTCTGCTTTCCATAAAGTTGCAGTCTGTACCAAGTCTCTCACACAGGTTTTGCAGAAGAAAACACAATTTTGGTTCTGCTTGTCTGTATAGCATTTACTGTGCCATGCAGAAGCTGCCTGAAGCAGAAGGAATGAGTGAGCCACCAGCCTGAGCCAGTACAATTTTCATTTTCAAGGTTTTGCTCACTACAAGTCAACCATTTTCCAGTTCTTACTAGAACTTCTATGTTTTTTGCACAATCTGAAACAGAGCTTTATCTCACTGTCATTAATGTGGTTCTTCCCAAAAGGCAGAACACAGCAGCTGCTTTGGCATCTTGCTGTGGAAAGGAGTGATGGATGGCAGAGAGAATCTCACAGTGGCACTGCAGGATGCCCTTCACCATGTTTCCATGGGATTTTTTTGTCTTACCAGTAAAAGATTGCTGAGAGAGGTTTTCCTGTGTTGAAAGTACAAGGCACTGAAGGGCACAGTTGTTCTAAAGCTGACAAAGTCACATTACATTTACCCCTACATGAAGATCGTAGAAAAGCAAACTGGTTTTGTGTGTTATTCCTTAAAAAAGAAAAGCTACAGAGTCAGCCATCTCCAAAATGCTATTTATAGATCCTTCCCTCAGACCTGCTGCACTTTGCCAACAGCCTGGTTTTTCAGTGCTGTATTTAAGCCCTGTGCTGACACTGCAGGAGCTCTCTGCACCTGAGAAGGAGTGTGGCTCACCTGGCTCTGACTGGCACAGGAACAACAGCCTCAGGCTGCAGCAGCTCCTGATCCTCTGCACAAGGACTCAGGGTCTGGGCTCTGTGAAGGGCTGTGCTGCAGACAGGCCAGCTATGATGTTGGAGAACTACACCTTTTTAGTTTTGCTTTAAGTATAATCATTAAATACTTAGTAGTAATTAAAAGCAGAGAGTGAAGCTTTCTTTTTTTCCTCACTGTAATTCCAGAATTATGACGTTATCTTTTGTCCCCAGTCCATAATATCTTTTTCCCCTGTGTTGGTGTAAGGAGAAGGGCAAGCTTTGCCCCATCCCTGGTGAGGATCAAACCACCTGTGTTTGATGTGTAATGCTAAAGGAGAGAGAATTCCAAGTTCATGGATGTGTCAGTACCTCAGGAAAGGCTGAAGTAGCCTCTGCATTAAAAGTCTTCTCCTCAGGGGCTGATCAGGCACTTCCATCCCTCCCAGGGGGCACAATCAGTCTCTACTGCACAGTTACCTACTTGAACAAAATAAACCTGGTGGTATTTATTTTAGCCAAGCTGTTGCAGGTCCACTAGTGCTCTTAAACCATCTCTGCAGCTGACACAAAACAGTGCTTAAGCCCTTCAGCATTACATGAAACTAATTCACCAAAATTCAGCAGCATAGAGATGATAGCAAGTACATCAACCCCCTTCATATTCTTTTTAAACACTTTCAAGTGTTATATAAATAAGCAAAAGAAATCAGTCACAGAGAACCCATCCAGCATTCCCCACTGCAGAGTACATTCAGTAGGAAGCTCACATGGATTTTTAAGCTGTCAGATGCTGAACCACCACCAAGTTTCACTGGCAAGGAGGCAGCAGTTACCACATTATCTAGTTTTTTTTTTCTTTTAGCTGTTTGTTTTCATAAGCAGAGAACAGCCATCACTTCCTAAAAAGCAGTTAACAAAGGTCTTCTCCTGGTGGCACCTGTGGCACACCTGGTGTTGGTGCTTAGTCCAAAGGCTGCGGTTGGTGACTCCACCCATACTGCCAACATCAGGAGGAGTTCTCAGTTTTTCCTTTACTTGGGCCCATGAACTCCAGACCCTCAATGGGTATGTCCTTTTCTTTGATTGCTTTCTGAAAAGAAGAACACCAAATAATTAAATTCAGAACTTCTTTATAGGCCTTCATGATGTTACCTTTGGTACAAAACAGAGAACCACAAAATCAGTGAGGCTGTAAAACACCTGTGAGATCATCCAGTCCAACCTGTGGCCCATGAGTAATACCAGACCAAGGCCATGCCCAGGCTCTCCTTAAACACTGCCTACAGCTCCCTGGGCAGCCCATTCCAACATCTGATCACCCCTTCTGTGAAAAAACTCCTCCTAAAGCCCAACCTAAACCTCCCCGGTGCAGCTTAAATCTGTAACCTCTTGTCCTATGGCTTGTTGCCTGAATAGAAATCATCTAAAAAAAACAAGTGATCTAGAAAAAGTAGTCTTAAGAGCTAGTTTGAATAAAGTTTCAATGTTAAAGTTGCTGGTTTGAATAAAGTTTCAATGCTGCTGAAGGATGTACTGAGAACTCACTGAGCTACAGTCGCTCTAACAGAAACGCGCTGCAGCCTCTACAGATCCGCCTTAAGAAATGTACAATAAAAATAGGAAACGCCTGTAAAATATTCATGCCATGGCCGACAGACACGGGGCGGGACAAGCCCAGCGCTGCGTGTGGGGGTCTGTGTGAGGCCTGAGGCTGCCGGGGGCAGCGGGCCGGCGCTGGGAGGGATCAGCGCGGGGAAGGACGCTCGGGCCAGGGAGTGAGGGCCGGCCCGGACGCACCTGCACGCAGAGCTGGTAGCGCTTGAAGAGCTGCCCGCAGGGGTCGCCGGCGCTGTCGCCCTTGAGGAACTTCTCTGCGAACCAGCGGTTGAAGCACTGGTCGTACTCGCGCTTCAGCTCGGTGCACGCCTCGCCCACGCTGTTCATCGCGGCGGCCGCGCCGGACGGGCCGGGCCGGGCCGGGCCGGGCGCGCCGCCACTGACGCACATCCGGCGGGCCCGGGAGGCGGCGGCGATGCGCGCGCTGCTCCTCGGGGCCTGGCTCCGCGCCGGGCGGGGCCTCCCGCGGGCACCGGGGAGCGGCCGCCGGCACCGGGAGCACCGGGGACACAGCGGGCACAGCGAGCACCGGCCGCAGGCACCGCTCCGGGTAACACCGCAGACACCGCTCGGGCACCGCCGCTCCGCCCCCCGCGAGGCGGGCACGGGATACAACGCCCGTTAATCGCCCCAGAGAGGGACAGCGATCAGCGGGTGCCTGCATTTGCTGACCTTAAAGGCCTTTTCCAGCCGTAACGATTTTAGGATTCTTTGTAAACTCCGTTTTTGACGTGTAACAAGTGTGGAAACCCAGAGCGGTGGGAGTATTTCTGTCTGCTCTGGGGTGCCCTGACCCCCAGGGGAGCTCTGACTTTGACCCTCATTCATGGAGAAAGTTTCCTAGACTTCAAGATAGACTAGAACCCACAAAACTGTAAAATAAATTATAGAGAGTAGTGTAGGTGTATCACTTGGTGAGAAATTTGTGTTTTGGGATTTTTAGTATGTTGTGGATGGAAGCGAGATGGAGGGCCCAGGGTGCTGTCCTGGGTTTCTTCTTCATGCGGCTTCTTCCTTCTTCTTCATGGGTTTGGGTGGCAGATTGTAATTGGGCAGAAAAGTCTGCATTGCAGCTCTTTGGGATCAGTTATTGGGTTAAAAGGGAAAATAATCCAGGTGTCAGCTCTTAATTGGATAGTTTAGTCTTAAAAGACTTTGTACCAAGAGATTGTTGGCCATTTTGTGCCTTCTAATGAAAACCTGCTGAACTCAGTAATGGGTACCCTCACAACAAGTTTGTAATTAAAAGAATGTACCACTATTAAACTTGCTGGGTTTTGACTGTTTTGTCCGTATTGATGCTTTTGTACAGCAGAAGGTGTCGGTGGAAGTGCTGCAGCACCTGGAGCACCTGGCCCTGGTGGATTTCCGGGATGCAGAGGGCGTGGAGCGGCTGCAGAAAGCGATCCAGTTTGCTGAGCAGCTTCATGAAGTGAATACTGATGGCGTGGAACCCATGGATTCAGTGCTGGAGGACAGGTGGTGAATCACAGCAGCCTCCTTTTATCTGTTCATGCATCAAAATGTTTGTTTCTGTCACCTTTTCCCCCTGGGAATCACCGTGCATGTGACCCCTTTGCTCAAAACATCCTCGTGGGGTTCTGTGTGGGGGAAAGTTGTCATTGGCTGTGTAATTTTTATGTGTGAGCAAAGCAAAGGTGAACTTCAGTTCTTTAATCTGTTTTAATTGTCACACTGCACCCCCAGTGCCTGCCAGTGCCATTTTTGGGTGCTTCAGAATGTTCCAGTACTTGTGTCAGTGTTTATTTAAGAGACCAACACCAGATTTAGAGATAAGCCACCCTTCCTACCTCATATTCACACAACAGCTTGAAGACAACCAGTAACCTTTGTCCTTCAGGTGTCTGTATCTCAGAGAAGATGATGTGACAGAAGGCAACTGCACCAAAGAACTGCTAGAAAACGCCAGAGAGAAAGTAGAGGAATATTTTGTGGCTCCACCAGGTATTGACTTGGTTACAAAAATCTCTTAATCTCACCTGAATTAACCTGAAGAAAATAACCTGCCATAGCTGCATTTACTTTCAGAAATACTAGTCAATAATAGGGAGCACTAAAAGAAATGTCTGTATCCATCTGTGTAAAACAATGTGCAATTTATGGTCCAGAAGCAGCACAGAGGCTGACCTGACTCTGGAGTTACTGCACACCTTGAGAAATTCCCTACAGGAGGTCAGGCTTCCCTGACTTTCTCAGGATATTTAGGCAGCCTGTACATGGAGTAAACTGCATAAACACTTCCGTGCCAAGGTGTCCTGCCCACAAGGTAACTTACAGCTGGTCTCACACAACCTGTTTTTGTTTTCTCTCAGGTAACATCCCTTTACCAAAGCTGGAAGAACAAGAGACTTTTCTGCAGGGCTCTCAGTGACAGCCCAGAGCCCAAATGTCCTTTCAGTATTTTATTTGGGGAAAATGAAGTTTTGTGCAGTCACACCCTGGTATGTATTTGGTCAGACCATGGAGATAACCTCACTTGCAAGACAGAAGAAAGAAAGTGTAAAAGTTTAGTAGTGCTGCTGAAATATTCAATGTCTCTGAAGCTGGACAGCAGCATGGCAGATGACCTGGGTGCTTTTATTTGGCAAAGTGAATTTGCTGTCTGGAGGTGGGAGCAAACCCTTGTCCCACTCTTAATTGTGCAATTACCTCATTATTTGTTTAAGCATCCATAATATGATCACCTAGATGCATAAAACATGTAATTACTGTGATACTTGAATTCTTTCAAGGGTATTGAAATAAAGCCTGTGTTTAACACCACTAATCCAATCCTCTACAAAGCTGTATTATTGCTTTAGTTTCAGACTTGTCAAGATTCAGACCCTGCAAATGCTGAAATTTTACAATTATACAAGCTCAGCCTGTAAGGAATTTAAGATGTGTATAGAAATCATAACAAGGAAAGACTTCAAACATCTGTCAATCAGTATGATGAATACCACAATGATAATATCAGGTAATTCCCACTTTGAGAAGTCCCCCCTTGATCTATCCATTTTGGCCTGTTTGACCATCAGAGAGAATGGGGACAGTATTATTTACACAGAAGAAGGAAGAGGAATTTGAGAGGGAACTGACTGCCTGCAGGAGCTTTTAACCCAAAATAGCATCAAGTAACTATTTAAAGGCAACAACTAAACCAGCAATTTGGACAAGATGATCCCACATTGCCAATGCAGCACAGGCTAAACTTAAAACTGCCAGTTCAGTGCTGCTCCCACACACTCCAGGGAGAGAACAGACTGCCTGATGCTTGTTCCCTGCAGCCCAAACTGCATTTAAAGTGGAAAACACATCTCCCTAATGAAGGGGTTTGATGCAACTTCACCACAAATAAGGGAATTACAACCTGGACTCAGACACCTGCAACCACCAAAAAGAAAAGCTCACAGAGGGCAGATGAGGTGCCTGTGGGGCAGGGCAAGTCAGTGCCTCAGTGGGTCTAACACTGGTGGTGCTGAGCCCCAGGGGATGGTGCTGAGCCCCACTGGGCCCTGGCTGCAATTTGAGAGAGGGGGAGACCCCCCCTCATGTGCATTCACTGCAGCACTCAGTAAATGGATCCAGTTTCTCTGGGGACCATGGAGATAACCTCACTTAGAGCTGCTGACATTTTTCCACCACCACAAAACTGTAGATCTAAAATTAGATCGGAAGCTCTTGCATATATATCCCAGTTTTACAAAGAAAATTTCAATGTGGAAATTTCTTCGCCTTTGTGGAAATAAAAGAAGATGGAAGTTGTTTTATTGCTAATAATGATGATTTTATATTTTGGTGTTAACTGGGAGCCCCAGGAAAAAGCTCTGTTAGCACAGAGATAGGTTGTGCAACACAGAGTGAAAAACAACCTCATGAAAAGTGCTTACAGCCTAAGCTGGAGAGCAATCTCATGAGATGCCTTATCCATTACCCAGTTTTCTTCAGCACCTCCTCTACCCCTGCTATCATCTCCTGTGTTTATTTGTTCTGCCTTTCCCTGCAGCTCTGTCCTGAGGGAAACTCTACTTTTATACTCTTAATTACCAAGTAGGGCTGTGATGTATCCCAGGCTTTAATGTTTCTCATTAACAACGTGCATCTCACCCACACTGCCATTTCCTGCAGTCGTCATCACAATTGTTCCTTCAGCAAACCATTTCTTAATAAATGCAGAGAAATTTGCCTGCAGCTACCAAACAGCCACCTCCTCAGAGATCCATGGGTGTTTCTGAAGTTCAGTGGGAGCATTTGGAAGATTGTTAAATGGTTCCATTCTGTCAGCACAAAACTGTCCAGTACTCAAAGAACAACTGCAAGTGCTGCAGATACTGAACACAGTTCTGGAAATTAATTACTTACTGTGGCCCCAAGACCATTTAAAACTTCATGTTTCCAGCACACAAGCAAAGTTGTGAACAGTATCTCTATTTGGAGTGTTAAAACCTGTGAGTCAGGAGTTATTTCTGAGATATTCTAGAGTGACAAAAGTATTACATTATGCAGTTTCAGTATTTCTGGGGGCAGTGTATTTTTCTGAGTTTGCAAAAGCACAGAGTTCCTTGCAGTTGTGCTGCTTTTGCTCTCAATGACACTGAGCAGGTAACTACACTGTAAGAATATGCAAAATATTTACGTTGCAAGTGAGGTGAATGACTGCTCTTGAGGTGGGTTTTTTTAAATTTCTACAAGGAAATGGGAGTCCTACCAACCAGTATTTAACAACCTCTTTTAAATCATCCTGTGCTGTTTGCTGTAGACATGGTTCAGAGTCCTGTTATTAACAGATCAGCAGTGGAAGACTCAACAGCAATGTTCTATCTGCTGACAAGAGAGTAAGCAGAAAGTGCCCCAGGGAGAGTGAAACTGAGAAAACAGAGCACTGAGGTTCTACCAAAACATCTTGCTTCATTTAAACAAAAAAAAAAAAAACAACCCAAAACAAAACCAGCCCAACCACCAACCAAAATAACCCCCAAACCAAACACAAACAAAAAAAGGCAAGAGTTGCAGAAATAGTGAGATCTGCAAAAGATGGTGTAAAAGTCTGATAGATTTGGTTCATTAAAGGAACAAAGTTTGGAGCTGATTTATCATACCCAGTAAACATGGGTCAGATTTCTATCAGAGGTCACTTGAAAAGACACAACAGAAAACAGACAAGTGAACAGGACAGGTGATCAAAGGCCATTAACAAGCTGTGAACTCCTTCCTTTGACCTGGGTGGGCTTCACTCCAGTAAAGGCCATATTACTGAAACACCAGCCCCAGGTAATATCCCAGCATTCTTTCAGGAATATCACATGCTATTGAAAGGGATATTCCCAGCAAGAGCTTGTTCCAAAGAGAAACAAAGTCTGTCATTGGTTCAACTCAGCATCTCTGTGATCCAGGCTGGGGCGCACACATCACCTATGGAAAGGTGTTTTACAGAACCTGGTGGACACATTACAATGCCTTGGAGACTGGGCATACTTTAAGAAACTAGTTTTTTACCCAGGACCACCTGATGATGCCATACAGAATCACAGAATTAGATTAGAAATGACCTCTGAGATCATCGAGTCCAATCGGTGACCGAACACCACCGTGTCAGCCAGACCACGGCACTCAGTGTCATATCCTGTCCTTCCTTAAACACCTGCAGGGACAGTGACACCACCACTTCCCTTGGGCAGCCCCTTCCAATGTCTAATCACCAGTTCTGCGAAGAAATCCCTCCCAATATCCAACCCAAACCTCCCCTGGCACAGCAGAGCAGTAGCACGGGAGTCGGGACTGGAAGTTTTCCATACAGACCCCAGACCCACGTGACCATCCCAACACGCGCGCCCCGTTCTCTCCCGCATCCCGCCGGTTGCCATGGGAACGGACGCGGCGCGGGGCATCGCGGGACGCAAGACAATGCCGCAGTAAAACCCGGCCGGGCGCCGCGCCTCAGCCAATGGGCGTTCAGGGGCCGGCAGCGCTGACCAATGGGCGCCCGGGAGGCGGTGCCGGGGGCCAATGGGGGCGGTCAGCGCTCAGGAGGCGGGGCAGAGGCGCTGCGAGGCGCGTACGGACCAGAGCGCAGCGCTGTCCGCTCCGCAGCGCCCGCACGGTGAGGGACGGGACGGGACGGGACGGGACGGGACGGGACGGGACGGGACGGGACGGGACGGGGTAGGGTGGGGTGGGGTGGGGTGGGGGCGGCTCCAGAGACTCCGCCATCCCGGTACCGGGGACCCCGCGTGTCCCGGAGGCGCCACCGTGCCTGGGCTCTTCCCCGGCCGCCGCCTCCGGTTTTCCCGCATCCTCGGCAGCCGCACGGGGCTCCGAGCCCTTGGCCGTGCGTGCCGGGCTTTCCTCGCCTCCCCCGGGGCAGGGAAGGACGTCGGGACGGGCGGTGGAGCGGCCGCGCTCTCTCGCGGGGCTCCCGGGTGGCGCCGGGCTGGAGCGGGGCTGGGGAGGGCCGGGAGGGCGGCGGTGCTTGTGCGGCTCCGGCCGAGGAGCGGGTGCGAACGTGAGGCGGCGATTGAGCCGCGCTGCTCGGGCCGTGCCCGGCACTCCCGGCCAGGGCGGGGGCACCGCGGCGATACCCACGGGGCTGCTTGGCAGCAGGTGACTCTGACAGGTGCTCCTGCAACTTTGAATTTCCTTCTTTTTTTCCTCCAAGCAGGCAATCATGAGTGACCGAAAGGCAGTGATCAAAAATGCGGACATGTCAGAGGAGATGCAGCAAGACTCGGTGGAATGTGCAACTCAAGCCTTGGAGAAATACAACATCGAGAAGGACATCGCTGCTCACATAAAGAAGGTAGATGTTGGCTTGTGATGTGCTCATGAAAAATCAGTTGGGGAGAACGCTGCTAGGCAAGTAGCTCTAGAGAAACGAGTTCTAGAGGCACCAGATAATCAAGTTAGACTTTCTCTCTTTCTGTTCTGTTCCCCACCCTTTACGTGGACCTTTCTAGGTCCTTCTGCTTTTCTCTTGTAAAGCCTTACACCACTTCTGCCACTGTCTGTTGTCCACGTGAGGACAGAGCGGCACCTGGCTGTCCCTGTGACTGATGAGCTGGTACAAGACACGGGCTCTGTGCAGCCTATTTAAAGTGTTGCTTTGCCGACCATGTAATAAGTGGGTTTGGTTTTTTGCCTTTCCCACCACATGTAAGACAAGCTGTTCATGCTAATGCTGAACAGATGGTTCATAGCTTACAGTTTGTCACATTTTCTTTCTTGACTCCTACTGGGAGCCTGACTGAGCTGCAAGGAGCTGAAGGGTTTGGTTGAGCAGAACAGAAACTTCCATGTCCTCACAAAATTCTCTTCAGCTGACAGCTGTTAGGTATTGCAGTATAAATCCATTCACTGCATGGGTTTGCTCACTGTAGACCTGTACACAGGAGTTTATTTGTAGCAGGCTCCTGACAGCAGCATGTCACATCACCATCATCTCATGACCAGGTGTCAG